GGTTCCGGTGGTTCAGGATGGCATCCTGCGGGAACGGCTCACGGTGGAGGAGTCTGTGGACTGTCCTGTGAGGAGGAGATCCACTGGAGCAGGGAAAAGAGTGTGAGGAGTCCTCCTCCTTTGGGAAAGGAGCGGCAGGAGCAACGTGTGAGGAACTGACCCCAGCCCCCCGTTCCCGTCCCCCTGCGGCACTGGGACGGAGGCAGAGCCGGGAAGAGGGGAAAGGCAGGAAGCGGAAAGGCAGGAAGCGGGGAGGTGTTGTTTTGAAGATCTGGCTTTGTTTCTTGTTGCCATCTCAAGTAACTGTTAACAAATTGAATGGATCTTGTCCCCAGGCCGAGTCCATTTTGCCCGGGCCATGGTCTGTGGGTGATCCCTCTCCCTTCTTGTCTCACGCTCAGCCCTTTGGTTCCATTTCCCTCCTCTCCCCCTCACCGAGGGGAGCAGTGAGCAGCTGAGCCACCAGCGGGACTGAACCACGACATGTTCACATCTGGTCTTCTTGCCAGTGGCATTAAAAAAAAAAAAAAATCTGTCTTTGGCTCATAAAGCAGAAATAGCATCTAGAAAACAGAAAGAATGGAATCGCTTTGTATCCATTTTAGCTTTAAATATGGATTTTGAAATAGAAAAGAGAAAGTTCTAAGATAAACTTTAATCAATTAAACCAAACTTATAACTATTAAAGATTAAGACAAGGTCACCTTAGGGAACAGATGACCATCTGATGAAGATCATCTATTAGGACTCTTGGCCCTTCTGCTATGCCTGCTCCTGCTCTTCCATTTTACACCATGAACTGAAACGACCTGTTTGTGGGATGTTCTTTTCAAGACCACTCTACTGGATAGCTGAGATATCAAGTACAGAGCTGGGCTCCAAGCTATTCTACCCATATTCTCTCACCATCCATCTGCATGATCCATCCCTCCTTCCTCTCCCCATTTCTGTGCAAGACTCCACGTTTCCAGTCTGAGCACACTCTGGTGCAAGACTCGATGGCCATGGTCTTGTTAAAAAGCATTTGGGAGCCACATGTTGCTGCTGACAATGCCGATGAGAGTCTTCAGCCTTAACTAATGTCTCAGGAAGACGACTGAGATCTGGTGCACTGTCCCCAAAAGCACTGGTGGAACAATTTCCACATGGCAAGCACCTCCCCTTTGTCCCCTACGCAACGTTAGGAGGAGCTGGATTCACCTGAAGGGGATGTTCTTCCTTCCGAAGGTGCTGGATAAAGCCACACTGTGCACCCTTCAGTTACATAGAGGTTATGTGGTCAGGGCTGTGTAATCCTTGCTCTGGTTCCATTTGGAAAGTGCCTCGTAAATCCCCTAAATGAAGGGTTTGTAGGGAGAGGTAAGAGCTGTTATTAGACGAGCAGATATATCTCAAAGTGGACAAGGTTTTGGACACTAAGCAACAAGGTGAAGGGCTTTTCCCAGGGGCAGACACAATGTTTTCTGGACAGTCAGATCAGAAGCACTACTTTTCCCAATCAAACTTAGTCTCTTAAAACCTTACACCAGGAATGGCCAACTGGCAACCCAGACCTTGCATTTGTGCTTCTTTTTTGTAATTAAACTTCACTAATTACCTACATTTTACTGAGAATTCCAACGAAATTTCCGACTGAATTTCCCCTTTTTAATATAACTACATAAAAATCTGACTTGGATTGAGAATTCTGTGTCCCACTGGGAAGAATAATTACGGTGAACAGAAAAAATGTATAATGACCGTGATTTTAAAAGTGAGTGGGAGGAAACCTGGAAACAGATCCGTTTCAAGACATAAGGGTAAGGTTTGCCTAAGCATTAGGATTCTACACAAAATCTTTCCTGTTCTCTTTTGATTTGGCTCAAGATTTTCTAGACACTGGTGCATGTCAAGAGAAACCCACGTAAATTGTCCTCTTTCGCTCCCGTATTTCAGTCAAGCTGAAAGATGCTATCAGAACTGTGTCCGGTCCCTGCAAAACTCTGTGTAGGACAAACTATGGACCATACTGAGACCGAAACTCCAGTGTGACCTTGGAGCCTTCATGAGGCTCAGGTAAAGATTAAGAGACAATATATGACTTACCGTCAGGAGGAGGTGAGACTCCATGGACATGACTCATGATTTTCCTGGTGAGGTCTGAGCTAAAACATCCTTTTTGCTTCCCTTAATGAACAACTCCTCAGCAATAAGCACAAGAGTTTCTGAAGGGTTGCTGTTGTTCACCTGTCTGTTGAGTTTGTGAATGACTATTTTGGGTGCAATTCATCTTCGTTACTGCTCTTTTAATTTTGAGAGCGGCTCATTCCAATGCACACTGGATCAGGCAATTCTTCAAATCATCCACATGGATCTCGGAAGGAAGTGCTGTGACCTAGGGGAGAGAACATCCACAGACCAAAGAAGCCAGCTCCATGGGGAGCAATGGTTAGAGAGAAGTCTATCCAAAATCACTGCTCTAAATGCATACATCAGCTCACTGTGTGAGGTAAACCAGGTGGCAATTCGTATGGAGCCACTGCATGGATCTCTGAGGCAGCCGTGTCCTGCTTGAGAAGGCCTCCTGCAAACCCTGCCTGAGAAGTGCAGCCATCCTGCCCCACGTGCCGCATGATCCAGAGCATGGTGTGTTGGCTGCGGTTGCGATCCTTGCTGGCACCAGCTCAGCCTTGGCACAACCGACCAAGCCATACCTGAACCTGCTGGGCTGGCTCCAGAAACAGCAATGCATCCAGAGAGATGTTCGTGCATCCTGCAGATGAAGGGGCAGCTTCCTGTGATCCCTTTTTTTTCCCTGCAATGAGTTGGCATTGCTTTCAGATGTGCCTGGGTATCTTCTGCACTGATCCTTTAAAAGAAACAGCAAAACAGTTCCCAACATAGAATCACAGAACGGTTTGGGTTGGAAGGGACCTCAAAGGTCATCTAGTTCCAGCCCCCCTGCCATGGGCAGGGACACCCTCCACTACACCAGGTTGCTCAAAGTCCCATCCAACCTGGCCTTGAACACTTCCAGGGATGGGGCAGCCGCAACTTCTCTGGGCAACCTGTTCCACTGCCTCAGCACCATCAGAGGGAAGAATTACTTCTTTAGATCCCATCGAAATCTCCCCTCTTCCAGTTTAAAGCCACCACCCCGTGTCCTGTCACTCCACGCTCATGTCCAAAGCCCCTCTCCAGTTTTCCTGTAGCCCCTTTAGGTGCTGGAAGGTGCTGGAAGGTCTCCCCGGAGCCTTCTCTTCTCCAGGCTGAACAGCCCCAACTCTCCCAGTCTGTCTCCATACAGAGCTGCTCCAGCCCTCGGATCAGCTCTGTGGCCTCCTCTGACCCCGCTCCAGCAGCTCCATGTCCTTCTGCTGTTGGGGCCCCCAGAGCTGAAGGCAGCACTGCAGGGGGGTCTCAGGAGAGCAGAGCAGAGGGGCAGAATCCCCTCTCTCGACCTGCTGCCCACACTACTTTGGATGCAGCCCAGGATATGGTTGGCTTTCTGGGCTGCCAGCACACAAAGGACCACAGGTCCAACCAACATTTTTACGACAGGCATGGGTTATCACAGAATCTACCAGGG